GCTGCTGCTCGGCGGCGCCTCCCGGGCTCCCGGCAAGTCGCCGCCGGAGCCCCCCAGCCCGCAGGGTGAGTCTCGGCCAGGAGGGGCAGCGATCGCGGGCCTGCGCCCCCTCGATCGGGCCCCCGCCCGCCAGCCCCTCTTCGCGGCGCTCGCGAATTGGGGGGTACTCTGTTCCCTGGGTTTGGGTGGGGGGAGCCCGGCGACTTCGGGTCGGCGCTTACCGGGGAGAGAAGGGAGGGAGAGGGCGACTGCCGGGGCGGGGGTCTCGGGGAGACACAATGGGGAGAGCGGGGGTCCCCGGGCTCCGCGCCGCCGCCCCCTCTCGCCTTGTTTTTCTCTCTCCTGGTCCGCGAGGCGCTGCTGCCTGAGCCATTGTCTACCGAAGACACCCGCCCAGGGGCGGGCTGGGGCGGACGCCCGCTCCGCAGCCCCCCGCGGGCTCCTAGCTCCCGACCCGGGCTGGGTGGGGGCGCGAGCATCGGCTGCCACCTTGGACCCGAACCGGGGCTGGGCGCCTGGAGCTGGGCTGGAAGGGGGGGGAGGGGAGGAGGGGGAGTGGGTGAGGCTGTGGGCGGACAGCCCCCGGCCGGCCCCCCCGGGTTCAGAATTGGGGGTGTACCAAAGAAACGCTGTCAGCCCTTGAGGAGGGAGGGGCTGCACTTTGGGGGGGTCTGGAAAAAGGGGTACGTGGTGATTCCCAGCCAAAGCGCATGGCAGGGCTGTGGTGGCGGAGCCATGCTGAGCTGGCTAGCTGGCTGTGGGCTGTGCCGGCTGGGAGGGCAGGTGCCTGGGTCCCCGTCCAGCAGACCTCCGGCCACTCCTATCTCCAGCCCGTCCCCAGGTCACCCCCTCCTCATCTAACCTCTCCATAGCAGTGAAGGAGAGCCTCCCGGCGCCTCACGGGCCCAGGTGGGTGTGTGAGGTGGGGGTGGGGTGGGCTCCCGCAGTGGGAGAGGGTGGGAGAGCTAGACCATGACTGCCTACCGACGCCTGGCTTCTCGGGGGCCTCCGCCCACTCCAGCCCTGCGCCCACCTTCCAGCCTCCTGCCCCACGACCCCGGTTACTCTTCCCTCTATCGCCTCTGGGCCCCATCCCTGCCTGAAACCGTGCTCTCCACTCCTCATCTCTCCACCGAGGAGCTGACAGGAAAAGCGGGGGGGGGGGGGTCTGGTTGAGGGAAGTGGGGTCCGGATGAAGGGAGGGGGTCGGATTTCCTCCTGGAATGAGGCAGAGCTGAAGCTAGGAGAGGCGGATACAGTATGGAATGTCAGGCTTGAGAAATGGGGAAGGCTCACCTTCTGGCCTCAGTCTTCCCTGTTCTCTGCGGGAGGAGAGGATGCTTTGATGGGTAGGAAGGGGCCCTGGTTTCTCAAAAAGCCTTTCCTTCAAGTCCTATACCCCAGGGGAGGGGGCCCAGGGAATTAGCTGAAATAGAGCCAGGATAGGGGGCTCTCCCAGGCCACTGGCTGAGAGCCCAGGTTGAGGGGAAGGGGGAAAGAATCTGCTAGGCACCTGCCCACCCTGTATGGTTCCTTGGGCCCTCTCCCCTCTTCTGAGGCTTTGGCCCTTGAACCCAAAGCATTCCTTCAAATGACCATATTCCAGACTCCTGGGTCCCCTCTTCCCAGCTGCTCCATCCAGTTGCTCCTAGCCTGGGTAGGGGTGGGGAGTAGCCAGGCCCCTCTAGCTTCTCAGAATTCCTCCTGGGTAGTGGTGGAGGAGGGGCAGGAAGATTGCCAGCTCCTGGGAAAACCAGAGAGTAGGAAAGAATCAAGTGTGTGCACCCACCCTGCCAAGTTGGGCTTTGGCCTGGGAGGGGTGAGGGAGGTGGGTTCAGGCGAACAGCTGGATGGGATGCCAGGGCCAGGCGTGGCGCTGGCCCTGGAGTTGGAAGCCTGAGATAAGACACCTGTCATTGTTGAGTGTCAGGCTCCACGCATGAGCCCCCCGTGACCTCCCCATGCCTTGCTACCCTGAGCTTCAGGCTCTTTCTGTACCTGGATTCCCCTAGGTTTGTGTTCCCACCTGCCTCCCGGGCCCTGCACTGAGGCCTCTGTACCTTTCTAGGCATGGACACCTACTTCCATTATTAGCAGCAAGGCAGGGGTGAGGCAGGTTCTTGAGGGAGGGGCCATGCTGAGTGGGAAGAGGTAGATGGTACTATGGATCAGAGAGGCTGCCTAGGGAATCCATAAGAACAACTCCAGGCCCGGTCCCTACCCAGTCACCCCATCTGAGCTCAGGACACCTGCTGGCCCATCCTGGCCAAGCTCTCCTGGGGCCAGGGGCAGAGGCAGCTGGACTTCCTAGCCCTCTCCACACAAGTTTCCCTTGGGCCTGAGTCGGCCCCCCCAGATCTCCTTCCCCCTTGCCAGGGCCCCAGCTCCCTGCCCATCTCCTGGGAGGAATGAGGGCGTTGCCATGGTGACTGACTTGTAGCTGACCAGCTGGGAGGGGGCGGGCAGTACTTGCGAGGGGGAGGGGTCAGGAGGTACTTGTTTGGGCTTAGGGGTTGGGGTGAGTCCCTAAATCTGAAAGGAAACAGGCTTGTGCAAAGGATTCTGGGAAGAGGATGAATAAGGGGGAAGACCATCTCCCTAGCGTCCCCTGCTCAGCTTTTTCTTCAGAACCCAAACTCTGACCCAGCGCGCCCCCCCCCCCCCGCAACCCTTCTCATTGGCTGAATCCTGACCTCTCTCCTCTCCACCTGTAGACCCTCTGTCCTGGTCCTCCGCTTATTCCTCCTTTCTCAGCCCTCTTCCCTCTCCCCTCCCTGATGCCAGCCCCATGGGGTCCAGTGGTTAAGAATTTACATCTAGGGGCAGACTCCCAGGTTTGGATCCCAGGCCTCCCCCTTAACTGCAGTGCAAGTATCTAAACTCTTTGAGCCTCAGCTTCTTTATCTGTAAAATGGGCTTAAGAGCATATTTTATGAAGTCGAATACATCATTGACTATAAGATGAACCATTATTTCGTGTGCCAGTAAGAAAAGAAAAAAATACTGCTAATCATGATGATGACATCATCAATTAGAGGCATAATCTGAGTTCAGAAATGTAAAAATGTGGAAAAGTGCATGTGTCAGACTTGCAATATGGTAATAGCACCACCTGTCTCACAGGCTGATGTGGGGTTTAAATGAGGGCCCTATCCATGCTGACTTTTTTTTTTTAAAGATTTTTTATTTATTTGAGAGAGAGAGCACATGAGAGGGGGGAGGGTCAGAGGGAGAAGCAGACTCCCTGCTGAGCAGGGAGCCTGATGCGGGACTCGATCCTGGGACTCCAGGATCATGACCTGAGCCGAAGGCAGTCGCTTAACCAACTGAGCCACCCAGGCGCCCCATGCTGACTCTTGTAAAGCCTTGTCTAGCCTGGGCCCCCAAACCACTTCCAACCCATAGCCTCCTCCTCTGATCTCGGGACTCCCCCCGCCCAGTTTTCTCCCCCCCCTCACTCTCCTCACCCCATCTTGCCCACAGAGATCCTGATCAAGGTGCAGGTGTATGTGAGCGGGGAGCTGGTGCCCTTGGCCCGGGCCTCCGTGGATGTGTTTGGGAACCGGATGCTGCTGGCCGCGGGTACCACGGACTCAGAGGGTGTGGCCATACTGCCCCTCAGTTACCGCTTGGGCACCTGGGTGCTGGTCACTGCTGCCCGCCCTGGCTTCCTCACCAACTCTGTGCCCTGGCGTGTTGACAAGCTGCCCTGTGAGTGCAGGGGCAGGTGGAGGGGGGGCAGCAGCTGACCCCATCAGCCCCTTCCCAAAATAGTCCTTGGGGGTGGAGGGGGCAGGCTTTCTAGCAGCTGCTGCCCGGGCTGGGGTACGCAGGGGCTGCTGAAGGAGGATGAAGTCACTGGGATTCAGATGGAGGGAGCGCCCTGGGGTTGGTGGGGGGTGGGGGGGAGCTTTCTCTGGAGCTGACGGATGGGCCACCCCTCCCACAGTGTACGCGTCAGTCAGCCTCTACCTGCTCCCGGAGCGGCCGGCCACCCTCATCCTCTATGAGGACCTGGTGCACATCCTTCTGGGCTCCCCTGGTAAGGCTCCTCTTTCCCTCCCCCCACCTCATGCCCGCTCCTCTTCCTTCCCCCTGACCTGGGTATAGAGAGCTCCGCTCTTCTATGTATTAGTGCTGGGTGCCCTTTAGCAAGTCACTTAACCTCTCTGAGCCTTAGTTTGTTCATCTGTAAGATGTGGATATTGATAGTATCTATATCATCAAAATGAAGTAAGGATTAAATATCAAGCATGCAAAAAACAGCGCAGAAGGTGGTCAATAAATGTTTATTGTTATTGGGGCTTCTCGTGGTTTCTATTCTCCCTCTACTCCTACCATTAGAATTCCTACTCCCTGCCACCTGTTTCATCAGTGGGTCTACACATACTTCTTGTGCACCTACTGGGTGCCTGGCTATGTGAGAAGGCCACGAGAGGGTCGTTCCATAGGAACTGAGCAACTCAAGGGCAAGGCGTGGAGCGGTCCCACAGTGTCCACTCATGGCTTCAGTCTCACCCAACCAATCCTTCCTGTAGCACTCGTGCTGCGCGAGGCATTGTGGCCGGAGCTGGTGAACAATGGGAAGGTAGAGCAGACCCGCTCCCTGTCTTGTGGAGTTCACGGACAAGTAGGAAGACAGACAAACAGATCACTGCCGACCCTGAACTAATTACAAAGCAGGCAGAGCCGTGGAGTAGAGGGCAGTGGTCTTCAGCATTGAAACAACCCTAACCTGTGAGTGTAGCAGGGCAAGAGAATTTGGGAAGGGAGCTATGGGACCGTGTGAGCTCGAGAGTTAAAGGGGGAGCAAAGGCACCCTCACTGGAGAGGAATCCAGATGCAGGGGCAGAAGGGGACAGCGAGGGTGCAGGGAATGCGCCGGACTGGCTCTGCAGGAGGGGCGCCTGGTGCAGCCTGGCTGATCTGGCTCGTACTAGGGAGCCACAGTGGGTTTTGGAGAGAGAGAACCCGCCTCCCCAATTTATATTCTTAGCTTGAGCCCTTGTCTCCAAGGTACTTGTTTGCTCATCATCTCCCTGATCCTGAACCAGAGACTTCTAAACTGTCTTTGGAGGTTTCTAAAATGCCAAGTGAGGGGGGCCTGGCTGTCTCAGTTGGTAGAGCATGCAACTCTTTTTTTTTAAGATTTTATTTATTTGACACAGAGAGACACAGCGAGAGAGGGAACACAAGCAGGGGGAGTGGGGGAGGGAGAAACAGGCCCCCCGCCGATCAGGGAGCCGATGTGGGGCTCGATCCCAGGACCCTGGGACCAGGACCTGAGCCGAAGGCAGACGCTTAACGACTGAGCCACCCAGGCGCGCCTAGCATGCAACTCTTGATCTCATGAGTTCAAGCCCCACTTTGGGGCATGGAGCCTACTTTAAAAAATAGTAATAAATAAATAATAAAATAAAATGCCAAATGATCCCTTTGTTGCCCCTGGCTTACGACCCTCCCATGGCGCCCACTGCTTTCAAAGTAAAGCCTAGAGTCCTTCACAAAGCTGAGTGGGCCCCGTGGGCCCTGCATGCCACTCAGTCACCTGTGTCCACGGACCAGCACGCTGCCCTGTGCCTCTGGGCCTTTCTACCATCTGTTCTGCTGGAGGTTCCTTTGCACCTTCTTTCCTGGTGGAGTCTTACTCATCCTGCAAGACTTCACAGGGCCTTTCCTAGCTGGGGGGGCCAAGCGCCTTTTGCGCCCTGCTATTTTAATAGCAAGGGAGGAGGGAAAGGGGTTTAGAAGTTGGGCTGGCACCACATTCCTGGGCTTCGGTCGGGCTCCAGGATTGTGACCTTGGGCAAGTCACTAAACTCCAGCCTCCATTTCTTCGTGTATACAACAGGGTTGATAATGAAAACACCTAGTTCAGGGGCTGTTGTACTAATTACAGGGGTTAACACAGGAAGCCTCAGAATAGTGTCCAGCTTAATAAATGTTAGCAACTACCATACTGTATTGGAATTCTGTTTATAAGCCCCCTCCACCCCAAGACAGACAGACAGATACACAAGCTAAGCTGTGTAATGCAGTAACCACTAGCAGCATGTGGTCACTTACATAAAAGTTCGTTAAGTTTTTGTGTTTTTTTTAAAGATTTTTTTATTTATTCATTTGACAGAGAGAGAGACAGCGAGAGCAGGAACACAAGCAGGGGGAGTGGGAGAGGGAGAAGCAGGCTTCCCAAGGAGCAGGGAGCCCCGTGCGGGGCTCGATCCCAGGACCCTGAGACCATGACCTGAGCCGAAGGCAGATGCTTAACGACTGAGCCACCCAGGCACCCAAGTTCATTAAGTTTTTTTGTTTGTTTGTTTTTAAAGATTTTATTTATTTATTTGAGAGAGAGAATGAGATAGAGAGCATGAGAGGGGGGAGGGTCAGAGAGAGAGGCAGACTCCCTGCTGAGCAGGGACCCCGACGTGGGACTCGATCCCGGGACTCCAGGATCATGACCTGAGCCGAAGGCAGTCGCTTAACCAACTGAGCCACCCAGGCGCCCTCATTAAGTTTTGAAAAATCAAAAATAAATCCAGTTTCTGAGTCACACCAGCCACCTTTCAAGTGCTTAACGGCCACGGGTAATAGTGGGTACTGTAATGGGCAGCACAGAGAGAGAACATTTCCATCCAACATAGCAGAAAGTTCTAATGGGTACCAAAATGGACAGCCCTGCACAAGACCGTGAACCTGAAGGCAGGGAACTGTGGACTGTGTCTTGTTCACCTTTGTATCTCCAGCACCTAACACAGTACCCGCCACACAGTAGGCAACAGTAATTGTTTGAGGACCCGAACCTCATCATTTTATAGGTTAATAAGGAAACGGTGTTTCAGAGAGAGCAAGTAACTTGCTCAGGGTCACACAGCCAGGACTAGATTTCAGGTCCAAGTCCTTTCCACGTTACCATTCTATGAATGCAGTTCTCTCCCCAAGTCACCGCCCTCCCTGACCTTCCCAAGTGGCCTGACCCAGTGGCTCCCTGCTCCTCAAATACCTGCCTTCTGCTCTGGTCCCTGGGGAAGCCTGTCCCCGGCCAAGCCACAGCGGCCCCCCTCTCCATCCAGGCGCCCGCTCCCAGCCCTGGGTGCAGTTCCAGCGCCGCGCCGCCCGCCTGCCCGTCAGCTCCACCTACAGCCAGCTCTGGGCCTCGCTCACACCTGCCAGCACCCAGCAGGAAATGCGCGCTTTCCCTACCTTCCTGGGCACTGAGGCCTCCAGCTCAGGTATGCTGGGGGTCCAGCATGGAAGGGACGTTCCCCCCCCCACTGCACAGGGCCTTTCCTAGCTGGGGGGGCAGGATTTAGCCCTCAGCCCGTGTCTCCTTCCCCCACAGGCAATGGCTCCTGGCTAGAGCTGATACCCTTGGCTGCTGTGAGCGTGCACCTGCTGACGGGTAACGGGACAGAAGTGCCACTCTCTGGCCCCATTCACCTGTCCCTGCCTGTGCCCTCAGAGCCTCGTGCCCTCACTGCAGGCACCAGCATTCCAGCCTGGAGGTTCGACCCCAAGAGTGGTGAGTGCTTCAAGCGGCTGCAGCTGCTGGAGTCGGGGGAAAGCAAGTGGGTCTGAGATGGCGGGTGGGGGGTTAATTGAGTTTCATGAAAGTCCTGCCTCTCCCAGGGCTGTGGGTCCGCAACGGCACTGGTGTGATCCGGAAGGAAGGCCGGCAGCTCTACTGGACCTTCGTCTGCCCCCAGCTGGGGTACTGGGCAGCTGCCATGGCTTCCCCCACCGCTGGTGAGAGACAGGGGGACAGCCCGCGACCGGGAGCGGTGGGGGAAGGGGAGGCTGGGAGTGTGGGCTCCTGAAGGGCAGGAAGGGCAGCCACGCCTGGAAAGCTAAGCCCTTGCCTGGCACAGGACTGGTCACCATCACATCGGGCATCCAGGACATTGGCACCTACCACACCATCTTCCTGCTCACCATCCTGGCAGCCCTGGCCCTGCTGGTGCTCATTCTGTTGTGTCTGCTCATCTATTACTGCCGGTGAGTGGCTCCCACGCGGCCAACCCCGCTCATCCCCTGCAGACTGAGGCCTGCCCTCTGCCCGCTGTGGCGCTGGGCGCTCCGGCCCCAAAGAAGCATAAAGTACAATCGTGGTCTTCAAGGCACTGACAGGAAAGGGCAGCAAATGCACCCGCGAGACTGGTGGCTGACGAGAAGTGGGGGGAGAGGAGGCAGGACCTACGGGCCAGGCCCCTCCAGGGGACCCCAGGCTGGACGTGCTCCTCCTACGAGCGAAGGAGCGCAGCCCCCCTCAGGGGCACCCAAACGGGCTCAGCTACCCGCTGGCCCTCCCACAGACACTCAAGCTCTTTCCACAGACCTCTCCCCAACATCTCTTCCGATCCCAGGCATTCTCCCCACCTCTCCAAACAGCTTCCATTCCTCATCTTGCCACTGCGGGGTTAGGGAGCTGCTCAGGCCCCCCACGCTTTCCTGAGGTCCCGGTCGCTTCCCCCCCCGCCCCAACACCTTCCAGGAGGCGCTGCCTGAAGCCGAGACAACAGCACCGCAAGCTGCAGCTGTCCGGGCCCGCTGACGGTACCAAACGAGACCAGGCCACCTCGATGTCCCAGCTCCACCTCATATGTGGAGGACCCTTGGAGCCCGCCCCGTCGGGGGACCCTGAGGCCCCGCCCCCAGGCCCCCTGCACTCCGCCTTCTCCAGCACCCGGGACTTGGCCGCCTCCCGGGATGACTTCTTCCGCGCCAAGCCGCGCTCGGCCAGCCGTCCGGCCGCCGAGCCTGGGGGCGCCCGTGGGGGCGAGGGCGCGGGGCTCAAGGGCGCCCGCTCCGTCGAGGGTCCCGGCGGGCTGGAGCCAGGCCTGGAGGAGTACCGGCGGGGGGCCTCGGCGACCCCGGCCTTCCTGCAGGATCCGCCCTCGCCGCCGCCGCCCTTCGAGCACTACCTGGGCCACAAGGGGGCGGCCGAGAGCAAGCCCCCCGACTTCCTGCTGTCGCAGTCGGTGGACCAGCTGGCGCGGCCGCCGTCGCTCAGCCAGGCCGGGCAGCTCATCTTCTGCGGCTCCATCGACCACCTCAAGGACAGTGTCTACCGCAACGTCATGCCCACCCTGGTGATCCCCGCGCACTACGTGCGCCTCGGAGGCGAGGCGGGCGCCGCGGGGGCGGGCGACGAGTCAGCCCCGCCCGAGAGCACGGGCCCC